AGAAGAATGCAAAGCGCGAGAGATACAAAAATAGTTTATTCTTGGAATCAGTTTCTCAACCAAACGACAGTTAAAAGTCCCAAAACGTAAGAAACCTGCGGAAGAGAACCAATCAGCGGTCAGAAGCACAAGAATAGCGCGAAAGCGCGCTCTCATTAATACCACCAGTTTGTGGGCGACGGCCACCGCCAGCAGAGGGCGCTCTTCGCGCTCGTCGTCCGTCGGCAAGAGGAGGACGGCGAGACACACGACGGCCGCCGCGTAGATGAACCACTGGTTCTTGGGCTCGGCGTTGAAGGCTCGCGCCGTCTGTTGACTATTGTTGGCGACGACGGGCGAGAAGTGGTCGTCGGCGGAGGGCGTCGTGTCGTCGTCGGCGACGTCATCGCGATTCGTGACGCAAAGCACGCGCTGTCCGGAGCGAAGAGCGCCCGACGTCTCGCGGATGGAGATCTGGAACTTCTCGCTGCGCACCGAGTCTTGAGTCAAGCGAATGGCGCTATAGTTGGAGAGGAGAGAAGACATGATTGGCCGACAGCGGGCGTCACGTGACTCACATGTCGAGACAATGTCGCGAACGAATGATGCCTTCGGAGGAACTCAAGAGAAACGCGTTCGGATTTGTGGACAGAACTGCGCGAAGACAAGACATTAGTTAACATGGCGGACATGACAGCGACAACTGACTGTTGAACTTGATGTGGAAGTCGTACGGGTTGTAGAGGGACAATGATCGGCTCCGCGCGCGCAGATTGAATTGCAGCTGATCGGAAGGGAAGACGAACACAGGAATCATTGTTGACAACAACNGCGAAGACAAGACATTAGTTAACATGGCGGACATGACAGCGACAACTGACTGTTGAACTTGATGTGGAAGTCGTACGGGTTGTAGAGGGACAATGATCGGCTCCGCGCGCGCAGATTGAATTGCAGCTGATCGGAAGGGAAGACGAACACAGGAATCATTGTTGACAACAACTGAGTGTGACGTCAGAGAGAGAGAGAGCGCGCGATTCGAGTGATAGCAAAATATTTATTGAACTAAAGCGACTTTCGGTCACATGACCGAATGGATGAGTTGATTGCACACGTCCTTGTATTGGGTTTGGTCGCCCGACACGCGCCGCAGCACCAGTCTGTTGGCGTTCCACTCCAGCGAGATCTGGATGTCGGTGTCGCGGAAGGCGATGACGTCACTCAGGCCCGACGTGGCGGCCAAGCGGTGGAGCAGTTTCGTGGCGGCGCCCAAGTCCTCGATGCACACGCTCCCACTCCCAGTGGTGTGCAGCACGTGGTCGCAGTCGCGCGCCACCGACTGCAGCGACTGGTAGTGCAGCGGGTTGTGGGCGGCGGTCACGGGGTACGTCTGGCGCATGCGCCGGTTGGCGGCGAACTGGAGCCTCCGACCTGATGGTCAACGATCACATGACATAGAGTGGACAGTGTGGACATGCGCACATGCGTGCTTACTCGGCTCGTCGTTCGTCCAGCGGTGCAGAGCGGCGAAGTCCTCGGCCTCGGCGTCCAGGTTCGGCACAGAGTGCTGGAAGTCGACGGGCGGCGGCAGAATCGGGAACTGCAGCGAAGTGCCCAACTCGTCCGTGATGGCGATAGAGGGCGCCACTGACGGCGACGTCACGGGCGACGACCGGAACGACTGCGGCGGCGTCAGCAACGGCACGGGTGACGTCACGGCGTGGAACTCCTCGCTGATGAGGGGCAGAGTGGGCGGCGGCGAAGAGGGCAAGGAGGCGGAGGAGGGCTGCGGCGACACGCAGTGGATGGGCGACGTCTGGAGCGACGGCGGCGACGACACGCACAGCGCGCGCAACTCTGTCTGCAGCGACGAGATGGAGATCTGGTTGCGAACAGCGCTTCCGTCCGACGCGCGTCTTCTGTTTCTATGGCAACGAAGCACTCATTAAACAGCGACTGTTGTCTTCTCTCTAACCTGTCTGTCGTCTGATTGGGCGACGCGATGGTCGTCACTCCCGACCGGCGTTGTCGTGTCACGTGGTCCGCCGTGTCGGTGAGGGAGTGGCGTTTTCTGCGCTGATAGCTGATTGGCGGCGGCGACGTCTGGGCGGGGAAGCTGAAGGCGGAGGCGGAAGCGGTCACCGATTGCGGGGCGTGGTCTTGGGTGCGCGCGTAGTTGGCCTGGCCGTCGGACGCGCGCCGCCCCATGTTGTTGTTGACCATGAGTAAGACGTTTGGCGGCCGCAACAGGTCCATGTTGGTGAGCGGGTAGTTGGGCGGCGCGAGCGGCAGGTTGGCCATGGGGGGCGGGGCCTGCGAGGGGGGCGTGAGGAAGAGGAGGGGCGGCGTGACGAGCTGATTGGTGGAGTTGGCGGCGCACGTGGTCTCCATGGGGCCGAACGTGTGGCGCCGCAACGGGGAGGCGGCGCTCAGCAGCGACGGCGTCTCGCGCTCGACCACTCCCGTCGTGATGGATGACTTGCGCTGATTGGACGACGGCACGAGTGGGAGGAGCGGCGGCGAGGGCGGCGCCGACGACGGCGTCACGTGACTAGACTCGTTGACCAGATGGTAGAGGGCGTAGTTGTGGTCGTAAGCGCGCGATCGCACCGATTCCAGAACTGCCAGAGAGTCGACCGAAAGCTCGCGCGAAACCCACTCGACGACAGACATGTCGATCGTGTCGTCGTCCGGCACGACAGGTGTCGTCTCTGTCGTGGCGTCGGTCGCGCGCAACCACTTGTGGACTTTGATTTGTTGCAACGACAGCCGCTTCTCGGGCTCCGTCACGAGCATGTGGCGGATCAGGTGCTCGCAGTCGGTGGACATGAAGTACGGAATGCGGAACTTGCCGTTGAGGACGCGCGTCTTCAGCGACTGCAGAGTGTGGCCGTCGAAGGGGAGGGCGCCGCACACCAACACGTACAGCACGACTCCCAGCGACCAGATGTCGGCCTTCGGGCCGCAATAGTGCCGGCCTTCGAACAGCTCGGGCGCCGCGTACGGCGGACTCCCGCACCACGTGCTGAGGAGGGCGTCGCGCGAGAAGTAGTTGCTGAAGCCGAAGTCGGCCAGTTTGACGACCTTGAGATCAGCTGAGAGGAGGAGGTTCTCGGCCTTGAGGTCCCTGTGGACGATGCCCTGCGCGTGCAGGAAGTCCACGGCGTCCACGATCTGGCGGAAGTAGTCGCGCGCCTGCGGCTCCGTCATGCGGCCGTTGGCCACCAATTGGTCGAAGATCTCGCCGCCGGCGCAGAACTCGGTGACGAGCATGAGGTGGCGCTCGGACTGCATCACCTGGTAGAGGCGCAGGATGTGGCGGTGCGCCGCCGTGCGCTTCATTATGTCGATCTCGCGCTGCAGCTTCCGCAGCTGGTCCGCGTCCAGCGACCGCGTCGAGATCACCTTCACGGCCACCTAAGGGACGGAACAGTTAGAGCGGAGGACAGGCGATTGGTGCAAACCTTGGCGTTCGTGATCTGGTGGCGCGCGAGCTTCACGACCGCGAAGTTGCCCTTTCCTGCGGAGAGAGAGTGTGAGCGGGAGAGTGACGTCACGCCGATACTGACCGATAGTCCTGACCAACTCGTAGTGTCCGACGCGAACGGGAATCGCATTTTCGTCGGCCATAGCAGTGCTGAGAGTGAGCTCGCGTTCTGCGCATGCGATTGACGTCACGAACACGTCATGAATTGACGCAAAGTTTTATTGAAAGCAAATACAGAATATTGAATACAGAATACAGTGTTAGTCGTCGTCGGCGCCGCGCGCATGCGCCTCCGCCACGTACAGCGACGGATCGATCACTTTGGGAATGGGCGCTATTGTGGTCGACAGCTCGCTCTCGATGCGGTGCAGCTGATGGCGGTCGTCGTACGTGATCAGGTTGATGGCCACGCCCAGGTGCCCGAAGCGACCGCTGCGGCCAATCCGGTGCAAGTAGGTCTCGGCCATCTTCGGGAAGTCGAAGTTGATGACGACGTTGACGGCCTGGATGTCGATGCCGCGCGTGAAGAGGTCGCTGCAGACGAGGTTCCGGCACAGGCCGTTGCGGAAGTCGTGGAACACGCGGTTGCGGTGCGGTTGGGGCATGCGCGCGTGGATGTAGTAGCAGCTGTAGCCCAGCTCCGCGATCTTCTTCGCCAACAGCTCCACGCGCTGCGTCGAGTTGCAGAAGATGATGGACTGGTTGATCTGGAGTTTACTAAAGAGCGTGTTGAGACAGTGCACCTTCTGGCGCTCCTGCACGAACGCGTAGTACTGCGTCACGCCCTTCAGCGTCAGCTCCTCCATCAGGTTGATCTCGTGCGCCGCCTTCAGGTGTCTGCGCATGAACTGCTCCACCGTCACGGGAAACGTCGCCGAGAAGAGCAGGATCTGGCGGTCGTTCGGCAGGTGCCCGATGAGCAGGTCGAGCATGCCCTTGAAGTCCTGCGACAGGAGCTTGTCGGCCTCGTCGAGCACGCACATGCCGCACCTGTCCATCACCGCCACCTTCTTCTCGATGAGGTCGAGGATGCGTCCGGGCGTCGCGATGACGACGTGCACGTTGTCGTAGATGCGCAGGATGTCGTCCTTGAGATTGGTGCCGCCCGTCGTGACCATCACTTTGGCGTTCATGTGTTTCGACAGCTCCAGACAGATGTGCGACGTCTGCAGCGCGAGCTCCCGCGTCGGCACCACGATCAGCGCCTGGATGTGCTGTGACGTCACGTCCACCTTCTGCAGCAGCGGAATGATGTACGCGCCCGTCTTGCCCGTGCCGTTCTTCGCGCGCGCCAACACGTCGCGCCCGAGCAGCGCCACCGGAATGGCCGCCTCCTGGATGGGCGACGGGCGCTCCCACCCCTTCTCGAAGATGCCCATCAGGAGCTCGCGGTTGAGGCAGAACTCGTCGAACTCGTTGCCGCGCGTGTTCGTCACGTCCGAGGTCTGCACGCGGGTGTCGCGCGGCGGCGCCTTCAACGCCGACTTCCAGTCGTCCCTAAGAGAGAGAGTGAGGGTGAGCACATTGACACCACCTTGGTCGTCGTGGACTCACTTGACGCCGTTGTTGTTCATTTGGAGAGCAGTTGTGGTCATTGTTGTGGTTCACAGTAAGTCTCGCTCAACAATGAGTTTCATTTGTCAGAAAAGCGAGTCTTTTATACAGAGTTTGGATTCAGAGTTGAGAATTGTTTGACAAAAACTCGCTCTCAAACAATATGGCGTCACGTGTGAGGCGAGCGCCCTCTGGCGGCCAATCAACGGCTCTCTCTTTGTCTCCCAACCGATCGATACTCCACTGCGAGCCACAAATTACGTCACAAACAACACAACACTCACCGCAGAGTTTGGTGCAAAAGGGAAACACTTTTCGCACAAAAATTGATGTTTTTCTCACAAATTCTGTGATAAATATCACGAAAACGAATAACAGTTCAGAAAATTCCCAAAAACTGTAAAAATGAAAAACATTTCCACTTTTAGCAAAAAGTGTGAATAAATGGAAAATGTTTTTCACTTTCAAACAACTCTTCACTCATTGGACGACAAAAAGTGAAATGACTTTCAGTTTAAAACTTTATTGTTGAACGAGATTAGAGTTTATTTCATAATTAGAACTTTATTTCAAACTTTACACAATTTACAAACTGTTGATCACGTGTTCGGACGTGTCGTCCAATCGGCGCGAAGAGTCGGAGGACAGCATGAGAATGCCGCCGAACACGTCCATCAGCTTCTCGGGCAACGAGTCCTTCAGGTCGGTGGCCAAAACGTGCGAAGAGTTGCCCAAACTCTGCATCTCTTCGCGAATGCCCGACAGAGCGGTCAACACTTGCGTCTTGACGGCGCCGACGCAGTCCTCCAGTTGCGAGCGCCCCCTCTCGAGCTCCGCGCGCGACTCCGCCCGCAGCGCCTCCACGTGCTTCTCGAGCGCCGCCTCGATTCGCGCGACGCATTCGCGCGTCTCTCGCGTCTCTCCAATCAGAGCGTCCATTCGTTCGCGCGTTCCTCCAATCGCCGTCAAGCACTGCGAGCGCCAGTCGCGCGATGACGTCATCTCGTCGCTCACGTGACCTCTGATTGCGTCCAAAGTCGTGTTCATTTCCGCCAATCGTTCGGATTCTGGAAACAGACAAAAGCGTTGGAATCACGTGACGACAGAGCAGTGAGTGTTACGAGCGCTGTGATTGGTCGCCGTCTGCGCCCCATTGGCCGCCATGCCCTCCAACACGAGTTGACACGCGTTGAGCCGTTCGCACAACTCGTCGACGCGCTTCTGGCTCTTGAGGCCGTTGCGCGAGATCTCCTTCAGCGAGCAGTTGACCGCTTCCTCCACCACCGCTCTGTCGCTCAGAGCGCGCAGTATTTCCGCCTCTTTGGCCACAATCGCGTCCAACAGTTGCGTCACTTTGCGGCCGTTGTCTGCAACACAAGAGATTGTAGTGGTTGGCAGTGACGCCGCGCGCTCACCGTCGATGTCGGACAGCTTCTCGATCATGTTCTCGCTTCGGTCCACTTCGATGCTCTCGAAGCGCTTCTCACTGCGCACCACATCCAAGTGGCGGCGGCACTGTTCGTACGAATACAGCTTCAGCCCGGAGTCGCACTCCAGACAGGGGGCGTTGGCGTCGCACTTGATTGAGTGCTTCGAGTGTCGGAAACACACCTAAAGAGTAAACAACAGTCAGACAACAACTCAACGCAAACAACACTCGCCTTCATCTCGCGGTTCGAGTCGTGCGCTTCGGCGCCAGTGGTCGGCCGGTTGGCAATCTTGGCCACGTAGTGGAACACCATCTTCGCTTTGTCCACCACATTCGGTCCCGACATTGTGCCTGTGCTGTAGCTGTGCTGCGCTTCAGTCGCTGCCGGCAGAGACCGCCACTCTCTCCACAACAACCAAAACAATGTCTCTTTACGACGACCTCATCGAAGACAACGACAACCAGAGCGACGGTCAGTTCGCTTCGACTCTCACTCCCGACTAATGCCTTCCCTATAGGTTGGGCGCAGACGTCCGGCCGCCGGCTTTTGGCGCAACACTTGCAGAACAAGACGAAAGCCAATCAAATGAAAGCCAAACCCATTCGCAGGGAAATCAAGTGTCACGACGAGTCGTCCGCTTCCGCCGCCATTCCCGCCATTTCTGCGCTTCCCTTCAACTCGAAGGGCAGTCTATTGGGCGGCGATTGGGCCGTCGGCGAGGAGTACGACCCGATTTGGCCGAACGATTACGAGAAGGCGCGCGAAGAGCGGCGCGAAAAGCGACACAAAGAGCAGCGAAAACCGCAGAAACGAACGCTTGGTTTGGATTACGACGACGAAGAGGACGACAAGTGCGACGCCGACGACGACAGCAGACGTCGTGCGGGCGCTGCCATTGGTTAGCATTGTTTCGGTTGTTGTCTCGCTTTGATTCCAACTCTTGTTCAGCGCCGCCGCCGTCTCTCGTGGACAGTTGTGTGGCGAAGAAGATAATGGCCAAAATGGGCTACAAAGAGGGCCAGGGGTTGGGCCGCGAGGAGCAGGGGATGGCTTCTCCCCTCCTCGTCGAGAAGACCAGCAAAAGGGGCGGCAAAATAGTGGACGCGACGCCTGTGGCGACACCTGTGGAGTCGATCACGGAGATCATGAAAACGCCGTCGAAAGTGGTTCTGTTGCGAAATATGGTGGCGAAGGGCGAAGTGGACGANCTCCTCGTCGAGAAGACCAGCAAAAGGGGCGGCAAAATAGTGGACGCGACGCCTGTGGCGACACCTGTGGAGTCGATCACGGAGATCATGAAAACGCCGTCGAAAGTGGTTCTGTTGCGAAATATGGTGGCGAAGGGCGAAGACCTGCTTGACGACCTTCTCCTCTGGTTTCTCCTCACGCCGTTTATGCCTCTGCACTACGCGCAGCAGTAGAAGCTCCACGGGCTTCGGCTCGTGCTCAAAGGGCAGTCCTAAAAGCAGCTCAAGGCCAGAATCGAGTCCGCGATCAAAGGTGAGACCAATTCCAACGCCCGCAGCTCTAACTCCCCCTCTCTCTCCCCCTCTAGCGGTGGTGGACCTGAACGGGCGCTACTTCGGCGGCCGCGTCGTGCGCGCGAACTTCTACGACGTCGAGAGATTCAAGAAACTCGATTTCAAGGAATAAACTCTTTATTTGTTTTGATTGTCGTTTCGATTGTCGTCTCGCACTTCGCGCCCGCGAACCCCGCTCTGCACACACAGCGCCCTTTTGGGAGAGCAATGTTAGCATCACGTGATCTGCGAGAGCGCTCACCTGTTCGCTGATGACAGTCGCTGCGCGCGGACCCCGAGGCGTGGCATTTGCACTCTGCGCGGAACAACGGTTAATAGCGGCCATAGTTTCGGCATTTCTTACCCGAACAGCCCGACGAGGAGAAGGCGTAAAAGCCGCGCAAACATCGGTCGCAGAAAACGCCAGAAATCCCTGCAAAACACGCGTTAATTGTCGTCACAAGTCACGTGACCTCTAACCTCGTTTGCATTGGCATCGGTTGTCATCGCAACGCATCGGAGCTTCGGTTCCGTCTCTATGGCAACGGCAGTGACAGCAAACGCCGCCCACACACCCGCTGTTGGGCGGACACTCGCCGCCGCCGACGCACGCCAGAGGGCGTCCCGAGCGCCAGACGGGAGACGAGTGGCCGCAAAGTTGGGAACAATTGGCGATCGATTGCTGCCTTCGACAACTCTCTTCGCGAAGACGACATTCGTTGTCATAGAGACGCGTCTCGTTGTTCGCGAGAAGTCCGCAAACGCGACCCGACGTGACGTCAGAGCAGCGGAACTGTGGGGGAGAGCGCTGATTGGTTGGCGAACAGGAGTTGTCTACTCACGTGACACTCGCAACGGGCACCGGCGGCGCACTTCGCGCCGAACAGACACGGCTGGCGGCAGTTGTCGGCCGCCGACCCCTCCCACCGGTCCTCGTCGTCGCACTGGCCGTAAAAGAGACTAAAGAGGAGTTAATTGGTTGGAAAGAGTGGAAGCGCTCACGCCGTCAACTCCTGCCGCTTCTCGCACGCGCTTCTGGCCATTTGGCACTCATTGTTGTACGTGTTTCCGTCTGCCGAACAAATCACAGTTAGTTTAAACAATCATTCAAAGCGCGAGACGTTTGTTTTGGAACTTTTATGCGAGTTTGCAAAGAACGACAAGAGCGCGCCCTTGCGGCCAATGCGGCACTGGCCTAACGCTAACCCTATGAGCACTGAAGTGGACAATTGTGTGGACTTTTGGAACTCACGTCAAATGGCATTCCTATTTGCAAAACTATCGCAAAGATTGCATTTGCGTTCAATTCTGGATTCACGCGATTCTAAGGACCCGTTTATATATTCAGTGTTTCTATGTGTCGGATATAAGTTCCCTTAAGTTTGTTTTCCTTATTTCCGGCATTTACTGTGTTTTCAAATCTCAAATAAAAGCACTTTTCATTTCACTGTTTGTTTTCGACGAAAAATGCGAAAACAATGTTTGTCTTGCATGAAGAATGTTGCCCCGCCTCCCACCGGCGAATCACAGCTTCAGTCTATGTTTCCAACTCTGTTCGAGATTAGTTCAGAGCAATTGTCGAAGAGTTTCATTGCGATTGCATTTAAAGCAGTTTCAAATTCGTACATTAAATGATTCACAGATACAAAGATTACAAACGAGTGGGATACAGTACAATACTTTCTTCCAAATTGGAAAACTTGAATTTCGACGTTTGTATTGCAATTGTAGCGCTTTTACCACTCATTCAGAATCTCTCTATACTTTATAGCTCTGAACAAATGACTGATTTTGCAATTTAAACTAAATCAACTTATCAGAGCATTGCATTGAATATTTCATTAAATCTATTTATTTTGCAATTTTATCATCTTTTTAATGTTTTATAGAATTATGTACTTTTATCATGGATTTATATAATTTCTATTGATTCTAATAAAGTTTGATTTGATTAGAAAGATCCCAAATAGTCACTGAATATAGTGTCTGTTCACTTGATTCGCATTTATTTGACTAAATTATTAAGGAATTAAAGTGGCATTTGTGGCGATTAAACACTTTTCACTCGATATAGTGTTTGGAGAAGTTTTTAGAATAGTGTGAAAACAGTTATTCTGTTAAAATAGCAACACTTTGGCCACGATATCGAATATTCACTTTATATTCACTATATCTGGCTTTAATAGCATTACAGGTATACAGTGGTCGCCAATCAAAAATATATTGCACACTATATCGAGTAATTTGAACCAAAAACTACTACAAATAGGCGTTAAATGCAATGCTCTGATTGTTATCTATTGATATGGATCGCATGACTCATATATCCTAAACTTTCTATTGGTTTAAAACTGTAATTTTCCATTGATTTCAAACTGTATGCTTTGTGTGTCACCCAATCATACCAGTCCTTTTCCAACAGTTTTTCCCTAACCTTTAGCCCATTTCTCACATACAATACCTGTATAAAAGAGCAGTGCTTTCATGTGCTCTCTTCAGTCTTTNCCTTTAGCCCATTTCTCACATACAATACCTGTATAAAAGAGCAGTGCTTTCATGTGCTCTCTTCAGTCTTTGTCTGAGCCCTCGACTGTCCAGTCGCTCCACTGACTCCACTCTATCTGAGTGCCAACCATTACTCCATTATCCATGTGCTAACCGGCCATATCTTGTGCCAGCACTTCATACATTTCATTCAATTGTTTTAATTGTCTTTTTAATTCAGTTTTATCTATACTTTTGTTATACTGTTAATTGCATTACATTTGACGAGTGAAATAAAGATTATTTCGAAGTGAAATCATTTAAATCATTTCTGGAAGCAAATGTACTATTGCTTACCAGATATCCATTTTTAATCAGAAGTATTCTAATCAGATTTGATCAGAAGTTTTCTGACCGAATCCTGACATCAGTTCCTGGATTCAGCCATCGCTGCGATCGCTCCAAATTATACCACTTGTCGCTCCCCACGAACTCTGGCCACGATTTATGTGAAACATACTCTCCGACCAAAAGTACAATTGGCCGGAGATATCATTTACTCCTTAACCACTCTTCCACGACATAAATCATTCTTCTTGTGGTAACTTTTGTCCGAAAGTCATCACAAGTATTGGCGCGAAACTCAATCAAAGAGCGCGCCATAAGACTATAAACAAGGCTCACAGCGATGTTACACGTTAATAACAATTCGGGAAATGCATTAAACATTACAATTGTTGTGTCACTTAAATATTGTTATTTTGATCATTTTGAATGCTTTTGACAACAATTAGTTCTATTTATTATGTCAGATTCATTTAGTATATCTCCATAGACTTAACATTATCCATAGACTTATGGGATTTAACATGGGGACGCTTTTACATGGGTTTCTATGGGATTACAGCTCAAGTCTATGACATAGGATTCTTCAAACGAATTGTGGTTTTAAAGTGTTGCAAATCAGAATATTTCATTTGTCATTAATTTGAAATTTGAAACAAGGATCTATACCATCGATGAGCTGAGGGGGAATTCTGCGGGGAAATGTGATTATATTGAGTGCAACTATTCATACATAGTGTTATGGTCATAGTAAGGAAGGGGTGAATAATATGAGTATGCATTCAATTCAAGGGCACAATATTTAGTCAATCATTATAACGTTTATAATGATTGACTCAAAACCATTTTTATGGGAAAAACGTATTCAAGCTCATCGATGATCTATACGTTAACCACAATTCGGGTTATGCTCAAAGAATAGATTAGCATAGCTTAGATACATTTAATATGAGTCCATAGACTTATCATTAGTCCCATTGAGTTAGCATTGTCCATAGACTTAGCATTAGCCATGTTATCCCTATGCAATAGACTTAAGCTGAAATCCGATAGAAACCCATGTTAAAGAATTCTCTCATAGACTTATCATTAGTCCCATAGGATTAACATAGAGAAAAACTTCATTTCATATTTCGCTTTCCCATAGGAGGGGGCCGAACGATCCTATAAACCACATTATTCAATGCTGAATTGTGGTTAAAAACATTTTTAGTAAAATATTCCGAAAATTCTAAATTCTTAAGAATTTGGAAGAATTAAGTTTAAAATATCAAGAAAAGCAAATAAATTGTTTAAATGATAAATCTTGCAATTAATTGACCAAAAATATATGAAAATCTCACATTTGTGTGAAAACGGCAAAAGTTTCAACATTTCTAAATGAAAGACTCATTTGAATATTTCACTGAAATATTTGAGGCTTTGTTTCAAATTCTAAATTTTGCGCGACTTTTAATTATTTGTTTTAAAACTCAATAAAATTTCAATTTCTACTTTGATTTCATTTTGAAGACATTTTTTTTCTAAAAAACGTCAAAAACTTGTCAACAATTCGAACACTGATTGAGACCTGAGTTCTGTTTTGAATTCTGTTTTGAATTCTGTTTTGAATTGTGTTTTGAAAGCTTTAACAATGACTCGAATCGCGAGAATAAAAGGAACGAAAAGTACAACCGTTGGCACAAATCGGTTCGAATCTCTTGTCTTCGCATTTCTCGCACTCTTTGGCCACTTTGTCGTCACGTGACGTCTCGTCGCAACTGCCGTTGTGTTTGACTCGGATTTCGACCGATAGATGACATGATTGTCGTCGAAGAAGGCATTCGTTTTCGTACGAAATTCCTGACCAATCAGAAAATGAGAACAAAAGCGGAACAAAAGCGCACAAACTGACCGTCAGTTCCGCAGATCCAGGCGACGGACCTTTCGGTACAAACACTCGTTACACACAATATGGGAGAATATGGAGACAAACCTCTGACACCTCTCATCGCACACGCATTTCCCGGACAAGCACTTGGCGCCGAAAACGCATTTCTGTCCGCATTGTTGGCCGCAATCTCCCGAACGCACGACTCGGAGGTCGCGCTCCAGAAGACACGCGTCTCGTCTCACGTGACACTCGCTGTCATAGAGGCGTCCATTGGAGGCGCAAACGGCTGTTTCGGTGCTTTGCGGACATTGTGGACAAAAACACCGAAACCCTTGTTGTGTTGGCAGGCATTGGGCGAAGGGTTGGGAACACGTGTTCGGCAGACAGTGGTCTTCGGCACACAAACCCGTTCCGTGGACTCCGATGAACGCCCTCTCGCGGCACTCGTCAGCATTCAACTCGCACTCAGAGGCGTAGCTCTTGTGGTTTCGGCCGCAAACGGCGGACAACAGGACGCGAGACGCGTTGCGCGACAGTGGCGACAGACACGGCAGCGATTGGCACCACGAGTCTAGAGGGAGAGAGACGTCACAGAATGAGAGGCAATGAGTGGCGGAACCCAAGAATCGATTTTATCTCTAATGAGAAAGACTTTCGAATCTCACGAATGAATGAATCGCAGAATTTCTCATCGATTTCTCACCACAACTCGCGCTTACAATCCTTTTCTCTTGAATGCATGAAAACCTCTTCATTTGACAGAAAGACAAATACCGTTTTCCATCGCTTCCTAAATTCAAAAACTCAACGCATTGTTCGCTCGCTCTCTCTCTCTCTCACCGCAAATCAGCGCTCTCTCTCTCCCCTCCTCTTCGCACCGCTCTTCGCACACGCATTGAGTGCGAGCGGACGTCACGTGGCATTTGGCTCCGAACTGACACTCCGAGCACTGGTCGTTGGCGTTGTCTACGAGTCGGGAGAGAAGTGAAGGTCAAAGCGAGAAAAAGTAAAGAAAAGCTTACGTTTGATGAAAAGGCAAAAAACGCAGAAAACGACGAAAAGCTGCGAAAAAGGGTTCAGAAAAGAGAAGTTTTCATAATTCTTTGACAAACTCACGACAAGAAGCGCCGCCAAGACGACTCTCGCGCCCGAAGTCCACATCCCAACTGCACTCTCGCACTGGCAGTGCTGTGGCGCGCGCTGACAGCGAATGCGCCCTTTTTGCCAATCGATTGGCGATAATCTCGGTCTCAACACTGGGTCTCAGGTGCGAAGCGCGAGACACACGACGAACACAACACCAAAAGCTTCTTTCGCCAGAAGCTCTCTCTCGAGACAACAATCTTTCGCGCAATTATTCAAACAATAGTTCAGTCGACACATCTGTCGCGCGCGTCCATCCGTCGCATCGATCGCGAGATAATAATAATGATTATTCAAACGCTTTTAAAATCGATGCGAAATAAGCTTTATTTGACCAAAACGTGACGTCATTAACGCTCTCAACTCTCGTGCACTTCAAACACTTCATTCAGTCTTCCATTCGCTGTCTTCCAATGAAGAACTTCCAAGTCTTCCAATCGAGGCCTTCGCGCCGCCACTGGGCGCTTCTCGCGGCCGCCGCTCTCGCGCTCGTGCTCTTCGCCACCCTTTCCTCGCTCTGTGAGTGTTATCACTTGCGAACAGAACAAAGAGCTTATCTTTTAATCCCTTTTAATCCGCAGACTCTCTCTTCTCTCGCATTCCACGTAATAACAAAATAATCGCTTTCCAACTCTCATAACTCTCTCTCCCCTCAGACTCGTCGTGCGATCACACGTTCTGCGGTACAGTGCTCTCCCCCTCTCCTATATCCTATATGCTCTCTCTCTCGCAGCTTTCGGCGCCCTTTGCGCGCTCGACGAGTCCTCGCGTCAACCCTTCTGTCGCTGCGATCACTCGTGTCTCGTCTTCGCCGCCGTCGCCCCGGTCTGCGGTCAGTGCTGCCCCCCTGCAACACCCCCGCCCCCCCGCTCTAACACCATTGCCTTTATAGGAGACGACGGCGAGACGTACGCCTCTGTGTGTCACCTGAAAGTGCGCTCGTGTTCGCAACAATCGCCGATTCGCGTCAAACGCTTTCAATCGTGCGGTGAGTCGTCTCGCGATTAATGACTTTTTAAAGAGTTTTGAATTCATTTTTAATAATCATTTAAAAATTCAAATTATCTTCACTTCACTTCTCGCGCGCAGAAAAAGCTTTAATACAAAAATCGATAAATCGTTAGCAAAACTATTTCACGAGAAAAGCATTTGTGTTTAATTTGAAGCAATTTTTGTTTACAAAACATTTCTCTTAATTTCGTTTCCATTTGAGAGCAAAAAGCGAATCAAAAGAGATTCAGAATTGCGTTCAGAATTGCATTCAATATTGCATTCAAATCATTGCTTCGAAAGCTTTCGAAAACACTTTTTCTCTCTTTTAATAACATTTTTGCGAAAATCGATCGAAATTTTTGTCCAAAAAATGATTTCTTTTGTCAAAAGAATTGCAAAATATGTCTTCAATTCCTCGAGATTTCCATTCAATTAACGAGAATTCCGATCGATTGTCCGAAACCACGCATGCGTTCACTCCTTCTGCGCCAACAATGGTCTGACGCGCGCGACAACAGATCCAAAATGGCTGCTCTTTGGGCTCTCGTCGCGCTCTTCGTGTCCAACACTAACGCGTGCTATAAATTCCCCGCAGATATCGTCGACCCGTGTCTCGAGAAGGTGTGCGCGAAGGGAGCCGTTTGCAAGGTTTGCCCAACGCCTCAATCATCCCTTCTCACTTCCACTCCCTCTCCCGCAGCCCTCCATCGACGGCCGGTCTGCCGACTGCGTGTGTCCGGCCTCGTGCGCCACTTACGGCGATTCGCGCGGTTCGCGACCGGTTTGCGGGTCCGACGGAAGGGATTACCCGAATGTCTGCGAATTGAGACGTCTCTCGTGTCGACACATGAAAGACGTGTTCGTCAAGTTCTCGGGCGCCTGCGGTCAGTGTTGTTGCCATGAGTTATGTGTGTTGAGCTAACCGTGAATTGCAGATCCGTGCGAAGGCGTGGAGTGTCCGTCGGCGCAGTTGTGCCAATTGGACGATCGCCGCAATCCCATCTGTCGCTGCAATGTATGCGTTTGCTTTGTTTTCCACATTTAAATCTTTTCTCTGTTGCAGAACGTGAGTCAATACATGAGTGTTTCTCTCTTTTAACGCCATTTGCATCCCAAGAACTGCAATCCCGATTTGAAACCCGTTTGCGGTTCTGACGGCAGAACCTATACTAACGAGTGCTCGCTTCGTGTCGAGGCGTGCAAACAGAGAACCACTCTTCGTATCATTCATTCCGGAGTTTGCGTCGGTCTGTCCTCTTCTCTGTTCCCTTCTCTCTCTCAACACTCTCTCTTTAGAGTCCAATCCTTGCGCTTCTCTCCAGTGCTCGTCGTTCCAGACGTGCGAAATCGATCGCTACGGCATCGCCACGTGTCAGTGTCCGCCACAATGTCCGCCTATACTGAGACCCGTTTGTGGCACTGACGGCAATGTCTACGATTCTGAGTGCGATCTCCGGAGACACACATGTCTTCTGCATAAAGACGTTCGTCTCAAACACTTTGGACTCTGCGGTAATTCCGACTCTTGTTTCGCCGCGTGTTTCACTTCCGGTTTCGTTTCAGGCGACGACAGCCCCTGCAGTCGAACTGTGTGTCAATTCGGAGCCGTTTGTGTTGTGAAGGCTTCGGGAGAACACGTGTGCGAATGTCCGCAATGTTCCGAAGAGTTCTCTCCCGTCTGTTCCCGGTTTGTGCTTTCGTCACGTGATCTCTCTTTTAACCCTTTCTCTCCAAAAGAGACGGAATTTCTTTCGCAAACGAATGCAAAATGCGTCGAGAATTCTGTCAAAACAGTAAACCCTTTGACAACGACTTCACTGCCGGTCTTTGCAGTGAGTAATCTCTTTAATCCTCTTTAATCCCTGAATCCGTGTCCTAATCCGAGTTCATAATAGACGGGTGCGAACAGAAGAACTGTCAGTTCCATTCGGTGTGCGAGTCGGACGGCGAGGGCGCCTCCTGTCGGTGTCCGAAGTCGTGTCCCAAAACCGTTTCCCCGGTTTGCGGTTCCGACGGAAACACTTACGACAACGAGTGCGCGCTTCGCCTCCAGTCGTGTCAGCGCTCAGAGTCGGTGTCGGTGTTGGCCAGAGGTGTGTGCGATGTGTGTCACGGCGTGAACTGCAAATACGGCGCGCGCTGTGAGAACGGCCGCTGCGTTTGTCCGACAGAGTGTCCCGAAAACAAGGAACCGGTTTGCGGTGACGACGGCAACACTTACGCCAACGAATGTCTTCTGACGAGCGCCGCCTGTCGACACGATCGGCACATCGCAGTCAAGTTCTTCGGCGACTGCGCGGACATCACTTCCGGCATCACTCCTCCTCTGGACGGAGAATATTCTCGCGCTTGCGATCACATGACCTGTCGTTATGGCGGCGTTTGTGAGTTCGACCAAAACGGTGTCCCGCGATGTCTGTGCGCGTGAGTCCACACTCTGTGCCGAACTTTGCAAACTCTTGACACTCTTTCACTTCAGATACAACTGTCCGGAAGTGAATGGTCTGAATGGTCACGACTCGGAGCCCGTTTGCGGCTCCGACGGCCGTCTCTATGACAACGAGTGCAAACTGCAAGAGGAGGCGTGCGCTCGACAGCAAGAGATCAAACCGCAGGACATGAAGGCGTGCGAAGAGACGAGGATTCTCGCGTGCGATGGAGAGCCGCCTCTCGTCAACCCTTCCACCCGGAAAGAGGTTCGCCTTCTCTGACGTCACTTCTATGCTCTCAACGCTTCTCTCTTTCAGTACTTTTGCGGCGATTCTCCGGACGCCAAGTCTTGTCCGCCGAACAGCTTTTGTCACAGAGGAACCAATTTTGCCAAATGTTGTCGAGAAGTGGCCACAACTCGCAGTTGCGAAGACACCACTTTCGGGTAATCTCTCGCATTCCCCGCAATCTCTTACCTCTTGTTCTCGACAGCTGTTGTCCGGACGGCAAGACCGCGGCTCAAGGCGTTCACAACGGCGGCTGTCCGTCGGTTTGCGAATGCAATCGTCTCGGCTCTTATAGTCTGACATGTGATCCCACGAGCAAACAATGTCACTGCAAACCGGGTGTCGGGGGTTNCCCGCAATCTCTTACCTCTTGTTCTCGACAGCTGTTGTCCGGACGGCAAGACCGCGGCTCAAGGCGTTCACAACGGCGGCTGTCCGTCGGTTTGCGAATGCAATCGTCTCGGCTCTTATAGTCTGACGTGTGATCCCACGAGCAAACAATGTCACTGCAAACCGGGTGTCGGAGGTCTGCGTTGCGATCGCTGCGAAGCCGGGTATTGGGGTCTTCACAAGATCTCCGAAGGAAACACCGGATGTATTCGTGAGTGATTTCTGACTCTATTATTCCCTATTCATGATTGCTTTGTACAGCGTGCGCGTGCAACGACCATGGTGCTATTCGGGACGATTGCGAACAGGTATTGACCGTTGTTGCGGCCAAACCTTACTCACATTTCTTTATTCAGATGACCGGACGGTGCGTTTGTCGCGTGGGAGGAGTTCAGGGCATGAAGTGTGACGTGTGTCCCGAGGGCTCTGTTTTGGGACCCGACGGCTGTCAAGACCGTAAGTGTTGATCACGTGATGCCCACTCTCTCACACCCTGTTGTTATTTAGTGTCGTTGTTGAAGACTATTGTCGGTTCGTGTGAACAAATTGAATGTCGCTTTGGATCAGTTTGTCGCTCCAAAGGATCCAAAGTTCAGTGCGTTTGTGACGTCACGTGTGATTTCGAGAGGAAAGCGAAACCCATTTGCGGTTCAGACGGAAAGACGTCTCAAACATACGGTTCTGAATGTCTTCTCAAACTATTCGCGTGTCGTTTCCAGAAACATATTCACATCGTGTCTGAAGGCCAGTGCGTCGACGATGACGTCACCGTTGGAAGTGTTCGCCGCTCCACAGCCTTCAAGACCACCGAAGAGAAGTGGACGCGCGAAGTGAGTCACGACGACGCGAGCACCGGACCCACCGAACCCTCCACTCCCGACACACTGCCGGTCGTCACGCCTTCCTTTGACGGCAAGTCATTCATCGAAATGCCGAGACTTCAGGCCTACACTCGGCTCACTTTGGAACTCGAGTTCACGACTTATGCCAAGAACGCGATTCTTCTCTACAACGGACAGACGGACACCGGAGAGGGAGATTTCGTCTCTCTTTCTGTCCGCCAATCGTATGTCGAGTTCCGCTATAATCTCGGCTCCGGAACTGTTGTTCTTCGGTCGCAAGAGGCCATCGGTTTGGGTCGACGCGTCAGAGTTGTGGCCAAACGCTATCTCTGGGACGGAATGCTTTCCATCGAAGGTCAAGAAGACGTTTCGGGCAAAAGCGAAGGCGACCTCAAGTCTCTTGATTTGACGCAAAATCTGTTCATTGGTTTCGTTGTCTCCAAAGAGACGCGTCTTTACGACAACATCGGAGTCTCTGTCGGTCTTCAGGGATGTGTTCACGGCTTTAAAATCGGCCGCAAAGACGTCGACCTCTCGTCGCGTGACTCGCGAGACATCATCCGAATGATCAATATTCGTAAGTTTGCCGCTTTTCTCTTGCAAATCACAGGCATTGCAGCGCAAGTCATGCTTTCACTTTGAAGCAAATCTGAAAATACTTTTGAGATTAAAACAAAACACAGATTCAATCGCGATTATAGCAATCAAAGCTGAATCATTTGAACTTTGCTTCCGATTGCAGGCGAATGCGATTCTTCGTGCGAAGGCGTGGAGTGCGTGAACGGCGGCACTTGTCTTCCCGACGCTCACTCTCTGTATCGCTGTGTTTGCGGAACGCATTTCACGGGTCGTCACTGCGAGACACAGATGAACGCCTGTTCTTCCAACCCGTGTTCGTTCGGCGCCTGCGTTGACCTCAAAGACGGCTTTGTCTGCAAATGTCCCGAAGGAAGAGCCGGACGTCTTTGCGACGACTGTAAGTGAGGAATGCGAGAATCACGTGATACTAAACGAGTTGTTTCAGTTCAAAGCGAAATGTTTTCGGTTCTGATTCCCGACTTCTGGGGAAACTCTTTCCTCCAACTGCCGACTCTTCAGGGCGTCGGACAGGCCTTCAATATTGAGGTGTGGTTTCTGTCGCGCGCCGCCAACGGTCTGCTCCTATATTGCGGTCAAGAGTCCGGGGATTTCCTTTCGCTCACAATAGAAGAAGGATTTGTCGTCTTTCGGTTCGATCTCGGAAACGGACGAACCAATCAGAGGTCAGCTCTAAAGACATGTTTGAAACTGAATCTAATGTCTCCCTTTCTCGCACTGTTAGCGGAATCGTGTCTTTGAAGTGAGTTTCGATTTCGAAAAACTGTTTTTTCATTCGTTTCTTTCATTTAGAACTTTGAAACCCATTTCTCTCGCGAAATGGCATTCGTTGAAAATGACGCGCCGACGCAAATCCGGAACTCTTCAGATCGACGACACGTAAGTCTGTCTTCGCTCCACTTTCGCTCTCAACCTCTCTCTTCCTCTCTATAGTGACGTCATTGAAGGCCAATCAACGGTAAGTTTGACGACTCTCTTCCCTCTCATTCTCCCTTAACCTCTCGCCTTAGGGCTCACTTTCTGAACTCAATCTGGAGGCGCCTCTCTTCGTGGGAGGCGTCGACAGCACACAAGCGGTGAACAAAAACGCCGGAATCACGAGCGGATTGAACGGCGCGATTCAACGGCTCATTATTAATGGACACGTTTGGCAGGATTTGTTTCGTCGCGCTCTTCTTCAGCACAACGTCGACGAGTATTCCGGTCCTCCCTGTGCTCCACAGTCTCCCTGTCTTAACAATGGCCTTTGTCTCGCACGACGTCTGTCTTTCATCGTCTCTCTCTTTATTCAAAACTAATTCTTCGTTTCTTTTCAGTCAACGAATACTCGTGTGAATGCAGTCCACAATTCACGGGCGAAAAGTGCCAAAAAAGTTAGTCTCTCTCTCACGCACTCTCCCCTTCACTCTCTCTCTCTCTCTCTCTTTCAGACATTTCGCGCGCCGTCGCTTTCAAAGGAAACACTTTTCTCTTGTTTTCAAACAAAAAGTATTTTTATTTTCAATTTATTTCGAATTAATGTTGATTTCGTCCGCAAGAATGGAGAACGAGAATCCGTGTGAACTGCGTCTGCGCACAACCGCCTCTCACGGCATTGTCTTCTTCTCGAGCACCGGCCGACCAAATGGCGATTATCTGTCGCTCGCGCTCTCAAACGGTTCTCTGGAGTTGAGTTTCAATTTGGGAAAAGAGAAGTCTCTTTCGGCGAGAAGTGAATTCGCGGTAAACGACGGCTTCTTCCACTCGGTTCTCATTCACCGCAACCAACGGCTGGCGTCTCTCCGAGTGGACGACTTGCCGCCGCTGAGCGTCACTTCAGACGCCGCAGAATTGCAGACCGACGGCGAGCTCTGGATCGGCGGATCTCCCGCTCTGCCGACCGGTCTTCCGCCGCACTATTATCACGGTTTCAAGGGTTGTATTGAAAGCGTGAAAGTGGGAGACGAGACGCTCCGGCTGTGGAACGACGCGTCGCTCGAGTTTTGCTGATTCTGTGATTAAAATACACTTTTTTATAAATGAAATGTTTTATTGGTTTGAAAGAAAACTCTTTTAAAAGGATTCATAATTTTGTCCAAAAATCTCTTCCGATTTTTGCAAAACAATCGGTGTTTTTGGCATTCGTGACAACAATCTGATCGGAGTCTCGATCGACGGAACGAATTTGGTTTCGGGCAAAAGCGGAGTTTCCAGAGTCTTGAAGAACGTCTTCTTCACCGGAAAGTGTTGTCCTTTGACGCCCAGAAGAGACAATTGTGGCAATTGTGTCAATTGGGGTTTCGATCCGTACTTCAGAGCAATCTCTTCGGCCGGCGGTTGCGACGACAACATGAGCACATCGGCCGAGTTCTTGCTCTCGGTTCCCGGTTCGTTGGTCTGCACCTGAGCTCTGAATCCGTTCTCGTCGGCGATATAGTTGACCACTCGTTTGATTCCGTCGGCGGAGATCACGGAATAGGAGCCGCGAACCACTCCCGAAGCGTCGGCCGACTCCTGTCTGGAAGACGAGCCATCGATGGCGTCAGCCGTGTAGCCGAAGGCGTACGGAGTGATGGGTTCGGCCACTGGAACCGCTAGCTTGAGGCCGAGCGACGACGCGCGCGAAACGACGACTAAAGCGAAGAGAATCTGAAAAACATTGGAATGAAAGCGAAAGCAAAGTCGAGACAAACTTACGATGAGTTTCATTGTTGGCTCGGAATCGAGGCGTCGACTCCTTATATGCGCGGAATTGAGGTCAGAGCGCGCTGTCTGTGACCGCAGGGCAGAGATGTTTTCAAAGCAACAAACGATCGAATTATAGGTCAAAAGATATTTTATTTGAGGAAATGTTTCAATAAATAGTAAAATCTTTTTAAAACCCAGAAAACGTAAAAAATTGTAATAAATATCAATCAAACGCCTCTCTTTGTTGACCCGCGACTCACTGCTGAGCCGCGAGTGGGAGGAGTTCGCGCCCCGCGTCCNGTTTCAATAAATAGTAAAATCTTTTTAAAACCCAGAAAACGTAAAAAATTGTAATAAATATCAATCAAACGCCTCTCTTTGTTGACCCGCGACTCACTGCTGAGCCGCGAGTGGGAGGAGTTCGCGCCCCGCGTCCCGAAGCCCGCCACGTGTTGGGCGCTCCGTTGGGACAGCGCTCGACCCGCGGCCCGACCAGTCTCTCTCTGTCCATTTCCAGTTCCTCCAACTTCTGCGTTAATCCCAACTTCTGTTGGATCGCGATTCGCAACAACGAGTTCAGAGTTTTCTTCTCGTCTTCCGAGCACTTGTACTGCCGCTGGAGTTCGTCGTTCTGCGAGACGTAGTCCTCACAGCGCGCGGCGAACATCGAGCGCAACGACGCGAAAGTGGCCGCGTCTTCCTTCAACGCCTGCAACACAATACACAGTCACGCAATGCTAACACTATTGTCGCGCATACCTTGAGTTCGTTGCGGAGTTTGGTCATCGTTTCCGTGACCACCGCTTTCTCCGTCTCGTATTTGGACTTGAGGTTCGCGAGCGCCACTTCTGCCGTCTGCTTATTGGCCTTCAAAACCGTACGAAGAGTTGCGATTTGTTCGCGTTTTGTCGACAAAAGAGATTTGAATTTCACAACAGATTCCTGAAGATCTGCCAACTCTTCAGTTTCCCCTCCACTCAAACACGTGTCCGCTTTCTGCGCGCGTGTCGTCGACCGCAACTCAATGCTCGTCTCGACGGCAATCTTCAGATGCCTCAACTGGTCTCTCACCGTCTCCAAGAGGTTGCCGTCCACGAGACGCGGTGTCGCCAAAGCAAAGTGCAGTTTGTCGCGCAGCTGTTCCACACGCGCCGCGTGCAGACCCGCGTCGGGTCGCGCGTGATCTAAGACAACACGTGATGGCGTCTCGCCGTTCACGAGACATATGTGGTGATACAGAGCGGCCAAGTCTTCGGAGACGCCCACGAGGTCGTCCTGAGTGGTGGCGCACGCGTTGCCCATCTCTTCGGCGATGGTTTTGATTGTGACCAAATCGCTCTCGAAGAGCGCGCTTTTGGCGATCGTGGACTGGAGGTCGCGTTCGAGGCGTTGCACCTCTTCGCGCAGCTGTCCGGCCGCAGAGTCACTCATTTGCCGCTTGAGAGCACTCTTGAGTCGCGCGAGTTCGGGAAAGTCCGCGTTCTGGTCACTGGCGTCGGTCTCGACGTCGCCGTAAAGCGCGAGCAAAGAGTTGATTGCGTCGAACAGAGAGCCGAGTTTATTGCTCTGGAGATTGAGTTCCGATTGCTTGGTCTCGAGACCGGTCTGCAGTTCGACCAATCGCTGGTTGAGTTGCAATTTCTGCACATCTGATTCGTCGAGCAACCGCTCCAGACGTTTGATCTCATTGAGATGCACTTCGCCGAAGAGCGAGCCCTCGAGAGACGACGGCTGCGTATTGGACGGACTGCGACTCAAGAGGTCGGCCTCCAGTCGCTCCAAAGTGGGGCTGTTGTCGTCAAAGTCGCCGGCATTCGGTTCGTCTGAAACGGATTTTAATGAGAATTAAGGCGCGAAACAACACATAAGACACGAAAGCGTCAGCGAAACGAGTCGTTCGCCGAAAGAATGCGAGCCGTTGTCCGCCGACCGCTTACTTGCGAACTTCAAACCCGCGAATCCCGCGAATGTCGACAAGTTGTGGATCGAATCCGAGTTTATCCGGCGGTCCAACTCCTTCTTCACCGCATATTTCTGCTCTCTTTCCGATTGCAACGCTTCCAACGCCTCTTCCATCTGCCGTTCGGCGATTCGCTTCAAGTGTTCGTATTCTTCGAGCTGAGCGTTCAACGCCTCCATGTCCTCCTGAAGACGTCTCACCTCGTGTTTGGACGTCTCGAAGTCCACTTGCGATGACTTGAGAACAGAGACCTGTTTTTGCAGCGAAATGTTCTCTTCTTCGAGTTCGTTGTTGTCGGCCAAGAGTCGCGACTCTCTCAGCTTCAGTTCCTTCAACTCCACTCTCAGAGTCCTGCGCTCCCATTCCGTCTCTTCCGACGCTTTGCTCTGCACACAAAAAGTCAGGACACGATCTCTCGTCACCATTCGCTCACCATTTCTGTCATGTCCTGCGAGAAGCGCTCCTTTTCCGACTCCACTCTTTCCAACTCGAGTCTCACGGCTTTCAACTCGCGCTCCAAGTCTTGCAAAGTGGACGCAAAGTTGGCCTCTTTGTGAGCGCTCTCTTCCAGGAGCTTCTCTTCGCGCTCGACGCCAGTGTTGGCCGAAACCTTTTGATTGGTCTGAGACTTTGCAAACGCCTAAACAAAGAGCCGAACCGTAAACTCAAGCCAACTGNGCCGTCCACGAGACGCGGTGTCGCCAAAGCAAAGTGCAGTTTGTCGCGCAGCTGTTCCACACGCGCCGCGTGCAGACCCGCGTCGGGTCGCGCGTGATCTAAGACAACACGTGATGGCGTCTCGCCGTTCACGAGACATATGTGGTGATAAAGAGCGGCCAAGTCTTCGGAGACGCCCACGAGGTCGTCCTGAGTGGTGGCGCACGCGTTGCCCATCTCTTCGGCGATGGTTTTGATTGTGACCAAATCGCTCTCGAAGAGCGCGCTTTTGGCGCACGCGGACTGGAGGTCGCGTTCGAGGCGTTGCACCTCTTCGCGCAGCTGTCCGGCCGCAGAGTCACTCATTTGCCGCTTGAGAGCACTCTTGAGTCGCGCGAGTTCGGGAAAGTCCGCGTTCTGGTCACTGGCGTCGGTCTCGACGTCGCCGTAAAGCGCGAGCAAAGAGTTGATTGCGTCGAACAGAGAGCCGAGTTTATTGCTCTGGAGATTGAGTTCCGATTGCTTGGTCTCGAGACCGGTCTGCAGTTCGACCAATCGCTGATTGAGTTGCAGTTTCTGCACATCTGATTCGTCGAGCAACCGCTCCAGACGTTTGATCTCATTGAGATGCACTTCGCCGAAGAGCGAGCCCTCGAGAGACGACGGCTGCGTATTGGACGGACTGCGACTCAAGAGGTCGGCCTCCAGTCGCTCCAAAGTGGGGCTGTTGTCGTCAAAGTCGCCGGCATTCGGTTCGTCTGAAACGGATTTTAATGAGAATTAAGGCGCGAAACAACACATAAGACACGAAAGCGTCAGCGAAACGAGTCGTTCGCGCTTTCTTACGCTCGGCAACAGGCGGCTGGCGAATGAACGCTTGAAGTTTGGGCGCTTAGGGCGCTTACAGCTGTTCAACACCTAGCTTAGGCTCAAATAGGCCGCCAGGTTGAGGAAGAAGTGGCGATATTTCTGCTCTCTTTCCGATTGCAACGCTTCCAACGCCTCTTCCATCTGCCGTTCGGCGATTCGCTTCAAGTGTTCGTATTCTTCGAGCTGAGCGTTCAACGCCTCCATGTCCTCCTGAAGACGTCTCACCTCGTGTTTGGACGTCTCGAAGTCCACTTGCGATGACTTGAGAACAGAGACCTGTTTTTGCAGCGAAATGTTCTCTTCTTCGAGTTCGTTGTTGTCGGCCAAGAGTCGCGACTCTCTCAGCTTCAGTTCCTTCAACTCCACTCTCAGAGTCCTGCGCTCCCATTCCGTCTCTTCCGACGCTTTGCTCTGCACACAAAAAGTCAGGACACGAAGAGAGCAGTGGTAAGCGAGTGGTAAAGACAGTACAGGACGCTCTTCGCGAGGAAAAGGCTGAGGTGAGAAAGGTTGAGCTCAGAGTGCCGAAAGTTGAGCGCGAGGTTCAGAACGTTTCACCTGCGAAAGTTGGCCTCTTTGTGAGCGCTCTCTTCCAGGAGCTTCTCCTCGCGCTCGACGCCAGTGTTGGCCGAAACCTTTTGGTTGGTCTGAGACTTTGCGAACGCCTAAACAAAGAGCCGAACCGTAAACTCAAGCCAACTGTCGGCCAATCACTCACTTCTCGCAACTCTTCCAAATCCTTTCGCACCGTTTCGTAACTCGACTCCAAGTCATCGTAGCGTCGCTGCAGCTCTTCCTTCTCGTCCTGCGGACAAAAGCCCAACAAAAGCCCATTAGTGGCCAACACTGACAGAGAGCAGGACTCACGAGGAGGACGAGACCGTATTGCGCCGATTGGATCTTCTCGGCGCTGGTTTGGGCCAATTCGCGGTTCAGGCGCTCGATCTCAGCCCTCATGTGGTGGTCAGCGACCGGTTGTGCCGAAGTGGCCGTCGGTTCACTCATTTTGGCTCTTTTTCTGGTTCTTTGCCATTGAATTGAATGAAAACAATTCAAAGCAAAGCCAATGAACGCTTCAATACGTCATCCATTGGTTTACAGTTTATGCAAACATTTTGTTCTCATTTCACATCTCTTTGAAGCCATTGTTTCCACAAAACTATTCATTCAATTGACAACTCATTCAAAACTGTAAACACTTTTCGCTGAAATAATGTAAACTTCGGATCCAATGATGGCATCAATTGATTGCCAATTAATACCACTTTCGGTCACTTGATAAGTTAGTTACTTAGTGAGAAACCAAGTGAGAAAGGCGTTGTGTTGTCGGCAAGTTCTCTAGTTGCTTAGGTTGCGAGTAACCGAGAGTAAACGTGAGTAGAATAGTAGTGAGCACTGGTAGCGAAAGATCGCCCTATTCCTCCACAGAAGACGTCTCCAGAGATTGCGTTCGCATTTGATTCCCGTCTATCGGATGGACGACGAGAGCAATGACTGGGAGACCGAACTGTTGGACACAACGACCGCTTCTGACGGCAAATGCGGACAACTTTACACCAATGAGAGAACACTTGAACTCTCTTTCGCCAGAGTTTAACACATTTTCCCAATTGTTCACTAAATTAACGAAATTATATATTTTGACATTAATTGACGGCAAAACTTGCGCTCAAATGAGTTATTAAACTTGCGCTCAATTGTCGCCCACTTTTGTCCACCGAATTAAAGGCCAAATAATTGATTAAATAAACCAAATATTATTGCAAACACTTGTGACTCGAAAACTAATTAAAACCATTTAAAAACACATAAATGTGTTGGACTTGTGGCAAGTCGTGGCCGATTCCCAAATCGTTTCTACAATTGATTCACGATTTGCTCGTTATTACACTTAACAGTAATTTCATTTGTTTATTGAAAATAATTACAAAATATACAAAACATTGGAAATGATTATAAATTAATGATTTGTTGAATTGTTTCCATAATTAACTTAATGTTTGCTTTTATTCGCGACGATTGGATCGACAATTGTTTGAGTTCTTCGTTGAGAAGTGCTTCTCTCTTATCGATGGCGAGAATCGCTTCTTCGAGAGTTAACTCCAAATAGAATCCCATTCCTATCATAAGAAACACTTTGTGCGGATCCGTTCTGAAAGACAATCGGTGTGAATGGATGTCATGACACGAGACAATACTTACATCACTGTCTGGACATAAAAGTTGGATCCGATGTCTGTTTGCATTTTCAACGGTTTGTCCTTTTGTTCAACGCTTTTAATAATGGCTTTG